TACTTTATCATTTATCAATTAATTTTTTCAAAAAATACTTTAAACAAAAAACGTTTGGTTCCATACTTTTTATTCACCTGGTATAGTGAATATTAAAAAAATATTGTTTTTGCTGTTTTTTTCTTTTTTTTTATTGTGTTTGATCAGTTGGCGATTTGACATACTCTGTAACAAATCTGTCCTTTTATAAAAAAATCAAAATTATGGATTTTAATCAAAAAATTTAAAATTGATGAGGCAAAAATTTAAATATTGCAAACAATAAATAAACAATAGATGTTTTTCTTTGACTTTTCTACTAACAAACCTTGCAAAGCGACATTTTGGCCTTAAAAACATTTAAAATGTTAAATTGTGTAAAATTAAAGAAAACAGTTTTTTTGTGTTAAGTAAAATCAATTTGGCAAACACAAAAACCCCAAAACCCGTTTTTCCACCTTTTGTACAAATATGGCTCTCAAATTGTCCAGATTTAAGTCTGTGTGAAATTCTTAATAGATTTAAAATTCAGATTTTTGTCTTTTTCAATGTCTTGGTAATGAAAATCAATTCAAATTTTCTTTTTTTTTATTTTTTCGTAATAAAACTCACATTACTGTGGCCACTAATTCCACCTGATCTAAGTCCATGTGAATATCCATGGGGGTTGCAAAATTTTTCCCGAATGTTCTATAATTGTTGCATCATATTTTATGAAATCCAAATACTGGAAATAGATTAGTCCAAGATGACTTGCAATTTTGTGTTATTAATCTTTTTAAAAATAAACATTTTGTTATTATAATATTGTGATAACTTGTGAATATTTAAAATTTCATGTTGGGGCATTTCTGTGATGCATGATTTGTCAAATTGCATTTTATTTAATTGTTTATTCATTACAAAAATAATTATTGGAAAAATGGTACTTGCGATAAGCGAGGTACTACTATTATGGTCAAATTTATTGAGATTAAACAAGTTGTAATGATAAGATTACACTGATAAGAGCAATTTAGAAATTAACTTGAATCTTTATATAACCTGATGTGATCTTCTCCCACTTCCATAACAAAGCACGATGCTAACAAAAGTGGTACTCTTTGTTTCAATTTCCGGTAAGTTTCGATTTATTCAAAATTTTGGTAAAAAACGTGTCAAAAGTGTGTTTTTGTGTGAATCCACCTTTGGTGACCACCCCATTGGGCAAAATCCAGGGTTACATCTCAACATCCCATGATGGGCGAAAATTTTCGGCTTTCGAAGGTATCCCTTTTGCAAAACCCCCAGTGGGTACCCGACGATTTGAAGTAAGTACCAAAAAGTCAAAAACAAGTTAAAACACCCAAAACAGGAACCTGAACCTGTGGAACCATGGCATGGTACCTGGGACGCTAAATACCTCACAAGTTGCACTCAAACGTCCATGACCCAGCCGAACATCACTGAAGGTCAATGGTACTCAAATCGTGTCTATAAATAACCCATTGTTCGTGTAGGTGATGAGGATTGCCTACATATCAATGTTTATGTACCACGGGAGGTACCAAATCCTGATGAAGGGTTAGATGTGGTGGTACATATCCATGGAGGGGCTTTTATGTATGGTAGTGGTCATGTGTACGCTCGCCCAGATTTTTTAATGGATCGTGACTTGATTTTTGTCACTTTCAATTACCGTTTGGGGGTATTAGGGTTCCTGAGTACCGAGGATGAAGTGGTACCTGGAAATATGGGTTTGAAGGATCAAGTCATGGCTTTGAAATGGGTTCAAAATAATATTGCCAGTTTTGGTGGGAACCCAAAGAGTGTGACTTTGACTGGTCTCTCAGCTGGTGGTTCCAGTGTCCATTTTCATTATTTTTCACCTTTGAGTAAGGGGTTGTTCCATCGAGGGTTCTCTCAGAGTGGTACCGCGACTAATTGTTGGTCTTTGCAAGAAGATGGTTTAGCAAAAGCGAAACTGTTGGGGGGTTCTTTGGGTTGTCCTGTTGGTACCACTCGTGAGTTGGTTCAGTGTCTTAAAGAGAGACCCTCGGAACAAATTTTGAGTAAAGTTGGGATGTTTTTTGAGTATTTGTTTCTACCAATTGCACCTTTTGCACCGGTTGTGGAGAAAAAAGGGACAAAACCATTTTTGAGTGACTTTCCTTATAACCTCCTCAAGGCTGGGAAAGTTCAAGATGTGCCATGGATTTCCTCAAATACTGCCCACGAAGGGATTTTTCCAGCAATTTGTATGGTAGTACCTTTTTAGGGAAATTTTTTGATTAACGTTTTTCCAGTTACGAAAAACGATTTGGACAATATTAACAACAACTGGAAATCTTTAGCACCCACATTTTTTGATTTTATTTATACTCTTCCTAAAACTAAACATGAAAGTGTCTCTGAGAAAATCCTTGAGTACTAYTTGGGCAAAAACCAGAAATTGACCCAAGAAAATTTTGATAAACTTGTCAAACTGTTCAGTGATCGAATTTTCCTCATTGATGCTGAAAGTAGTACCAAACTACAAGCCAAAAGTACCAAATCACCAGTCTTTTACTACCTCTTTACTTATTTAGGAGATTTGAATCAGATGAAAGGTACCACCAAAGCAAATTTTTTTTCAAAATTTTGATTCGAAATTCTAGTTGTTGGTCATGGTGACGATGGCAAGTACTTCTTTGGTAGTATTTTTGTACCAAGACCTTTGACCGAAAACGAGTTGAAAATGAAGGATATTATGTTGGACATGTTGGTCTCTTATGCCAAAACTGGGTACTACAATGGATAAGTTGAAAAAAAATAATTTTGGGGTTTTTAGGACTCCGGTGATAAAAGGGGCCGAATGGAGGCCAACTCAAGGAGACCAATTGACATATCTTGAGATTGGAGGGTTTGAAGATGGGGAAAAAAAGGTCAAAACGAGTGATAACCTTACC